GGTTCCTCCCGGTGTCTGGTATGAGACAGAGGCCGCCCAGAGTTCCTGGTGTATGTGCAGCTGGACCTCCAAGAAGTAAAGGATGGTAGGTACATACTTAAGTCCAGGTCTGTGGTCTTTAGCATGAAAGCTCTGGAAGCTCTCTGTGCAGAGGTTTCACGAAAATACTGCCCCTCTCTCTGCTACGGCAGCCCCCCATCCCACCCAGAGACACGTGGGCAGTATCCTTGTGCTCCAATTCACTGTAGGTTTAAGAATACAGAAAAAACTCAAACCCACATCAACATCGGCCTCCTTTGATGATAAACGTCCCTTTCACACTTATTATATGTTTACCTCAACAGCCTGGACCTTCCTGCTGGCTCTTCCGAGCTCAGGGTAAGACACCCAGCCATGGGCAATGGACCCAGCCTGGTGACAGACTCCAAGGGAGGTGAGTGTGCAGAGCAAAGACACCTGCCGTCCCTGGCTCCTGGCTAAGAGGGGACCCGTGCACCTGTAGCTGGCATCTCCCACATCAACTCTGCTCCTCTGTCTACAACAGAAGACACTTTGAGAAAAAGTTCCCTTGCATGGAAAAGTAGATGGCAACACGCATCACTAAAGCCCATCCTGCCTCTTCCCTTAGCTGAGTGAATGACAGACACAGTCGGGGTCTGTTTCTTTGCTTCCTGGAAAAGGAAGGAGCAGAGAGGACATGGAAAAGCAAACGGAATTGCACTTCGCGTGAGCCACTGCACATCAGTTCCCGTCTCACTGACGCTACTGCTGTCCTCTCCCTCCATGGAGCCATAAGGATCAGGAAGGATGAAGTGAACGGTCTCCAGATCCCCAGTGTCTTGGAATTGGTGACCACTTCCACCAGTTCTTGCTGCTAATAAAGTGATCTTTCCTAAAACAGAGGTTTGATTGGTCCCGTCCAAAGAAGAGAACCCAAGGGAGAACCTTCTGTTAACCATGCAGCTGTGCACCCGCCTCCCCTCGGCAGACACTGTACAGCAAAGCTCGAGCGCCTGCCCTTCGGTGTCTGTGCAGTGCAGACGCCGGCTGGGCCAAGGGCAGTGGTCATCCTCAATGACACCGAGGTGGCTCTGAGGGCAGAGAGGCTGGGAAGAAGATAACTCGTTGCCCACCGGGTGGTGTGGGAAATCCCACTTCTCAGAGGAGATGTGCATCAGTTGTTTCATCACTGAACGTCTTCCCAACAATCCTGCCCACACCCTTTCCTCACAGACTCACTGCACCACTTCCTCAGACTCCAGCCGCACCCCCAGATGCAGAGCCCCCCAGGGGCTCTCTGTGCGGCCAGAGCCACGGCCAGGGGATGCCCAATGGGACGGATATTTAGCCAGATGTTCAGATATGAGCCACCAAATTCTATTTGACAACGTCCCAAATGCAAAGGGGCCTTGTGTGGATTAAGGCGCTGACCCCCTGAGCATCCCTGGCGCAGGAGACGCGGAGATGTCTCCTTTATAGAGGAGAAAGTGGGGAACAAAGAAATCCGCCAAAGAACTGCTCAGGGACTTGCCACCGGGCAGTGGCGGAAATGGAAGTTAAGAGGCCCCCTGGAGGCGGATCCTTGAGTGTGTGTGTGGAGGGGTGGGGGGCAGGTAGGGCTTTGAAGACAAGCTAGTTGCTCAGGTAGTTGTAGGACGAAGACGGCGGCCAGAGGAAGGAAAGGGGAAGGAGGTGTAAAGGTTTTTTATAAGATGGAGGAAAGATGCACGAAGGTCACCTGAGAAAGGTCAGACAAGTGCTCAACGCAAGACAGAAGCATTTAGAACGACAGTGACAGGTGGCAGTTCAGAAGCTCTCCCCCTCAAACCCACTCTGGATTTGGGGGTGTCTGCAGTTTAGTGGAGCCACTAGGACCGAAGGTAATTAAGTCTAGACATTCTAATGGTTAGGCTAATGTTTGCGTTAAAGGAACAGTGGCTGGGAGATGAAGGTCTGCGGTCCTCTCCCGGGGAGGCGGCAAGGCAGCGGTGATTTCGGAGACAGCGAGTCCAGGAGGGGACCCAGGAGTGGAGGGAGCTGGGATAGTCAGCTTGCTAGGCAAGTGTTAAGAAGAAAAAATGAAGGCACAAGAGGACGATTTTAGGGATGGCTGATCCTTACTTATCTGGGCAACTGAGGCACACCGCTCTGCTCCCAGAATAAAACAGCACCAGCCAGGACCGGTGCCGGTGGCTGGACGGTCGGGAGTGTCCATCGGCTGATATAGCAGCAGAACGGGACACTCCCTGCAGACAAGAGGATTACTACCAGATCCAGGAAACAGATAACCTAACGGAGCTGCAGAGACAAGGTAGGTCCATTCACAAGGAGTGACCAGGACCCCACGGGTGAGCGCACAAAGGGGAGCTGGAGCAGCACCGAGAGCAGGAGTGGCCTGCCACGGGTCAGCCCACGTGTGCACGGTGACCCTGGGGCTGGACACCTGCTGCTTTTCCACCTGCATATGGTTCAACCCTTGAGATTCCTTCATCCTCGAGAAAAGAGCTTTGAATGGCCATGGCTTGATATATGCAGCCCCAGACAACTGGGTGGGGAGGAGAAACACCAGGGTCAAGGCGGCTTTGGCCTTCTGAAGAGAAACCTCCCTTACTCCCTGAATTCCTAGAGGGGTGAAGGCCAGAAGTTATCTAGGACCAGGGGGAAGCCGGAGCAAGCCCTCTGTCCGCGGGCTGCCAGCCCCACCACCAGGGAGGAGGGGATGTTCCAGAGACTTCTCCGCTGCCCTTAAACAGGTGAAAAAGTCACAGATAGCTGAGACACACACCTGTACATGGAATGAAGAAGTTTATGTTGAATGACAGCCCAAAGCAATAGAACCAGATAAAATAATGCCTTGTTTAAGAAAAGGACAATGAAATACATTGTGTGCATTTCCCCGAAAGCTACGTTTACAGTTGCCCACGAAAACATTCACAGACACATTCTACCTCCACTCAAATAACCTCCCCGCGCCGCAAAGCTGTGCCCTGAGAAAACATTTCTAAGTCGGCGACACAACAACCCACAGATGGTCTTTTCTCTCTCTCGGCTCCTGATCCCGTCCAGGTCTCCTCAATCTGTTTTCTCAGGGTTATCAGCATCCTCCCAGCCGCTCTGAATTGCTGTTTACAAGAGCTGAGAGAGGTGGCCTGACTCCCACCACAACTGGGGTGCTGCCTGAGCTACCTGAACAGAGAGGGTCCTGGACCGAAGCAGAACCTGGTGCCACCTTGTTGTGCATAGGCTTTCTGAGTCTGAGGGGCCTTCACGAGTGCTTCCTCCCCACGGCGGACAACACACAGTCTTCATGGTTATCAGCAACACAGCTATGTCCACAGACACCGCCCTGAGCAGACTCTAAACAGCTTGCCCCGTCCGTCAAAATAGGATGCTTCAGCAAGTGTGGCTGGAGAGATAACGCCGGCGCTACAAAACAGTGTGAACAGAACGAAAACACTGGCCCCCACGTAACAGGGACAGCTCAGATGCTGCCGTGCTTAAAGGGATACGCTGAAAGGGCTGCCAATGTAGATGCTAACAAGGTCGGAACACAGACGTCTTTAGGTGGAAGCTAAGCAGAGAAGCCTTGATGTTCCCAAGGTGTCAGCATTACTAAGTGCTAACTGCTCAAGTTGAATTGGAAATAATCTTTGTTGCTACTGGCTAGTCCACTCCCTTCTACCAAACGCCTCTTTCTTAAAACCAGAGATGTTAGTGGTCTGAATTCATTTAGAGAGATCCCTAGAGCTGGTCCTGCTGTTTTACAGACTGACTAGACTGGGAAAATAAGACGATTTCTAGAAGGGCATCGTTTACTGTAAGGATGACCGAGGTTACACGCAATCCAGTGCTTAAGGGCTGACAGCCTCCTGGTTTTCTCAAGGGCGGCTTTACCTCTGAACTCGCCACTTAGAGTTCGGAACAGGTGTCAGCTGTCCAAACCAGGTCCTCCGTCCTGACTACTCACTCACAGCACCCCTGGGCCTCTCAGAAAGGCACGAGCCACTCTCAGGTGCTTGAATGCCCTTCGCACACATCAGACACACATACACACCCCCAGTGGGCCCTCTGATGCCAGTATAAATGCTGCTAAGAATGAACTTTGGGCAAGCGGGCAGAGTCGAGGGTGGGGTCACAGTGAAAGGGCAAAACCCAGGGTGGCACCTGTTTCTGCACCCACGGCCCCTCGGGAAGCCAAGCCGCCTTGTCCGTGAAGGTGTCCCCACAGGCGGGCAGCCACACAAGGCACACCTGCAGCTCACAGGGGCCATCAGCATTCAGCTAGCGCCTGCTGAGTCATGCATCCTTGCCATTCAGCATCGCAAAGACGCCTTTTACTTATTTCCTGTTACAGTTTCAAATTTTCATTGTTGGAGTTCCAGCCCCGAGCCCCTCTCAGATTTTCTCTGCAGTTCTTTGATTACTTCATGATTATTCTCAACTACAAAAATAATAATAATAACAGGCATTGGACGAGGAATCAAAAACGCCCTGTGTTCTAAGATGAGGGCTGAGTCCCAAGGTGTGTGATTATCAATGAGCTGGCGGTGGCGACGGACGTTCCTTTCATTCTTTCAGCTATGTGGGTGCCTGAGAGGTTCCCAGTGCTGTTCTAGAAGCTTCTGAGACAAAGCGAGGCACATGGATCTCTGCCCTCGTAGGGCTTACGTCCTAGCTGACGTTTTTCTGCCATCGCTTTGTGTTAACTCTTGCCTCCCACCGAGGTAGAGTCAGAATCGAGACACAAGCATTTTTGTCGACGGTAGAGCCCTGCACTGCCCACTCGGCTGTCCACAACCTCACGTGGCTGCTGAGCACCAGAAATGGGAGAATCCAAATTCAGATGTTCTGTGCGTGTCAAATACACACCGAATTTCAGGGACTCGGCACAAGAAACAAAAAGTGAAACATCTCATTAATGTTTTTATATTGATTACATATTGAAATGATTTTTGACATGATGGATTAAAAAACCTAAAGTTATCTTCACCTATTTTTACCTTTTAATGTGACTACTGGAAACCTCACTGAGGCTCTCGCATTTCTATTGGACAGCGCTGGTCTATTGTCCTTCTGAGGATGAAGAAACTGAAGCCTGAAGCAGTCAAGGCGCTGCCGGGACCAGAACCCAGGTGTCCTCACAGCTGAGGCAGCTGCGACAGGAGCACAAAGGGCCTGGGCACGGGGAACCCCAGGCCCTCGGTGAGTGTCCACCGGCATCTCTGCTCCGGACCTGCGCCTCTGCTGTGACTGCCTTACAGTCCCCCACGTGAGTGACAGGACTGGCCACAGCCATGCAGAGGCAGCTGGCCGTGGGGGTCCTCACGTCCACCTCTCCACCATCACAAGCACAGGTCGGGGATAAATAAACAAAATGTGTTTGGAGTGAAGGGTGGGCAGCCAGCCAGGTGAGGCGGAGGGCTGCCCCTTCTCTGATCCTCCTGAGGGCTAAGCAAGGTGACAGCAACTATGTCAACATGAGGGAGTAGGAGCAGTTCATGATTCATGGATAATGTTCTTCTCACAGGTGTTTCCAGGGAGCTAATACAGAGAGAGAGAGAGAGAGAGAGAGAGAGAGAGAGAGAGATGGAACTTTTTGTGTTCACCCAGCTGAAGATTTGAAAGAAGTAGAAACTAAGGTATAAAGCAGAACTGCAAAGACCCCCCTGAAGAGGAGAGGCACGGGGCAAGGGCATCCTCAGACCGGGTAGCTCGGAAGCCACTGGGAAGGGTCCAAGGGTGGGCTGAAGGATGGTGAGGAAGGAACAGCATTAATTCGATCAATGACTTGAATGTGTGTTCTGCGAGGAGAGGCAGGGCGGCTGGGAAGCCTCCTTCCAGGGGAGGCTGAGAAGAAGCAGAAGTCAGCAAGGCTGAGGTCCTGACACGATCCTCAGCCCCTTCTAGCAGGACGGGCCGAGCCTGTGAGTCCCGAAGGTGCTGTTCCAGGAGCCTGGGGTGTAGAACTGGCCAGGCAGGGAGAGGAGCTGACTCCAGCTCCCACCAAGCGGCTCTCTGTAGAGCCCTAAACCAGGTCAGGGATGGCAGTGGAAAACAAAAAATTAAAAAGACAAAGACTCAGCAGAACTAGCCACCGAGGGCACGTGGAGCGAGAAAGGCTGATCAAGCCGAGTGAGGCCGTGCTGGGTGGATGGGCAGGGTGGGAGGGGCTGGGAGGCAGCCGGTTAACAGCTTGAGGGGTTTCAGCTGGGGGCCAATTACTGGTCCCTGCCCCCGGGCTCCAAGACCTCCATTTAGAAAAAGGCCCAGAATCCACCCTGCATTTTTGGCTAGGAGCTTTTGATCCCCAAAGTGCCGGCACTGGCACAGTGGCCCACCAGGGCCACACCTATTTAAAGGAGCCCTGCCCCCCCAGAGGAATGGCAGCAGGCTGTGTCCACTTAACTTCTGTGTGACAGACTCTGCTCTAGGCACTGGGGAGGGGGCGGTGAGCACACACCTCTGCTTCCGCTGTGCCCGGAAGACCCTGGGAAGCTGCCCCGGCCCCGCCTGCATCAGAGCCCTTCCCTGGGCCTCCTCAGCACCTGGCACACAAGGCTGCCTAGGAAGCACTTAACCCCTCACTGACTCCATCCCCGTTATCCCAGAAAGAAACACTTAAAGCAGGTCAGTGACCAAGACCTAAAGGCTCCGAGACTACAAACGCCCTACAGGGAGAGTTAGCACCAGCAACTGTTTCTTCACACTGGTGCTTAGTGTTGCCCCAAGAAGCACTGTGAACACATCTACAGCGGGCTACAGGGGGCAGCTGTCCAAAACTCAATGCGTTCTGAACAATTCATCAGGCGATTTCTTACAGAGTTCGATTATACAAAGATGCTTCCTCTGAACCATTTAAACTGCAAATAGGAGCTTCCTTATAACGCGTGTAGGGACAGAATAAAGAAGTCTGAGACCAGAAGTCCCAGAAGCAGCACAATCAATCACCCCCTCTGCTGTTCCCAGGTGGCCATAAACACACACACACACACATATACCTCTCTGCCCACAGGTGTCTGCTTCATCAGAATACAGCGTATGCCAATTTAACACACCACAGTCAAAACACCCAGATGGCAGGACACGTTCTCCTACATGGCCTTGTTTCTTCAGTGACAATACACAAAGAAGCAATGGACCTTACCTAACCAGAGTAATGTTTTATCCCAACTAACACTTCAGACTCTGCGTTGCTTCCCTTAGCCCCCTCCCCACCCCGCCCCCCACACAAACACACTTAAAAAATAACAGATACAGCCCAGAGTTTGGTGTAAAACCAAGAAACCCAAACACAAGCTGAACTCCCAAAACTAGCCTTGGGCTTCCACAACTTCTCCCTGTAACACACAAAAGGTTTAGCGAATCCATTCAGAGCTCATGGTTGTCTTTTTTAGTGACTGGCCCCATGCACACAAAGCATCGAAGAGGAAGACCAGGTACTACTTACTTGAGCAGTTAAGCAAATGTCATTTTCTAACTCAGGATCAAATGAGTCTGATCACTGGCACTGGCAGAACAAGGGCAGGACAGTCCTCTCTCTAAGTTATCTTTACTGCCGGGCAGTTCCTTGGATTCTCAGAAGGACGAGGACTTCTGTTCTCTGGTGGGTGGTGCAGAATGTCCACAATCTGCTCCAGCCTTGAACACTGGGAATGCGGGCTAAAGGGAGGGCTGTGGGGAGAGGGCTGCTGGGGGAGGGGCTGTGGGAGGAGCTTCTGCGTCTGGGGATGGGATTTCAGTTGCTACTGGAGCCCAGGAACTGAGCAGGGGGAGCCAAGCTGGTGCTGGGCTAAATCACCTTCATCTGACGGTTACCCCAGCGTGATCTGGCAATACCAGGTGGGTACGGCGGGAGAAAGGCCACACAAAGTGTGTTGCTGTTAGCTCTACATTCTCACAGTAACCTTCCTTATGGAATTAGGGGACTTTGTTTTGGGTAACAATTTAGAAGCCTCCTGACAAAAGTTTTTTGTTTTTTGTTTTTTTAATGGTATGGGACTCTCCCCACAGCTACCTGAACAATTGTATACAACATCGTCCAACCTCCTTTTGAAAAGTTCCTTATTGAGAATAAGTGTACTCTAAAGACACGGGTGTACCTTAAAACATAAGGTTTCAGTTATCTCAAGTAAAAGGTGGACTCCAGAGACATTAAGTTTTCCATCTTCACAAACAACAATGGCAAAGGACAGAATTCCTGCTGGTCCAGCCCAGACCGCTTCCCTGCAAGCGAAGAGAAAAGTCAGAGCTCTCCGGTCCCCACCCCAGCCCCTTCAACCGCAGGGTCTCCAGTGCGGGTCTCACCGCCCCTCCCCTCCCCCCAATAACCTCTGGGATTTAAGACTCGGCACAGTCCTTGGTAAGCCCTCCTACCACCCTCACCTCCCTTCCTTGCCCTGATCCTTGCCAAATTACACAAGTTGAAAGGTTAGCGGAGCCAGCAACGGCCACCCTCATCCCCTTGAAGGACAGCTGGGCTAAGCCCCGAGTCGGCTTCAGGAGGATTTAATCATCTTAACTTCATTTTCTGAGGAGGTTCAGGTTCCCGACCCACCTATCCTGATACCAATTGTCACAATACAAATGTAGTAGTCGGTGCACTTTCGTTGTTTGCATGTTATAACTGCCTTAAAAACAAACAAATAAAAGTTAAAAAGCAGCAGGGCTCTACTTATAAGGACACGGGCGGCCCTGCAGAAGCCTTCCTCGAACCAGCGGCAAGCGGGCAGGGGGCTGAGCCGATTCCTCCCGCGGCGGCCAGCCCTAACGGCCAGTCCTAGTGAGGATGGGTGAAGTGCCCCCTGGCTCCGAGGTAGCGCCGTCTAGTTTTGCCGCCCGCCGGCGTTGTGTGGAGGTCTGCAGGCTACCACCTGTACTCTGGTTCGTCACCCACCTTCGACTCCCCTCCAAACCTTCGCGATCTGAACTGCGACACCTCCTGGGGCAGCGGCGCCTCTGAGCCACCCGCGGCACCGCTGCCGAGTCAACTGACTGTCAGGCTTTCAGTCTACTCTGTAAGCAAGTTTCATTTCTGAAAGGGGCGGAACCAGGTCGCAGACACCATAATCCCGAGAAGTTTCCGAGAGCAGCGCAGCACGCAAGTCACTCGCTTAGGTCACTTTGCTGCTTATGGTGTCCACAGTATGGTGTGAGTCCAAGAAAAGGGAGCGATCTGCGCCCGGGCCCTGGCGCGCAGCCTGAGAAGCGCCCCTCCCCTGTCCGGCCCGATATCAGCCGCGGACCGCTGCGTCTCCAACTACGCCTCCCCGAACCGCCGCATTCGAATTCGCGCTGCGCGGGCCGATGGGATGTACTTGCGGGTGGGAGCGCAGGTGCAAGCCCGAGAGACCGCAAGCGAGGAGGGGGCGGCGGACCCCGGGAAGCAGCCAAAGGCCCCCTTCACGTACGCCTCGGCCACCCCGCGGTGCCCGGCCAGCGCGCAGCCCGCGGGACGCGCGCATCAGGAACTCGCTGAAGTTTGCCAAGCCTGGCCGAAGTCTCTGGAAAGTTGCAGCTCCCTCTAGGAGCGTCTCTCCTGGCCCACAGGGGCGGAGAGTGGAGGGAGGGTGCCACGGAGGGAGCTGCGGGGAAAGGGAGCACCTGGTCCCGTCACCTGTCCGCACCGCCCCTCACGCCTCCGCGCCCCGACTGGGCTCGGCGAGGACTCGAGCTCCGCTCGGCAGGGACAGACCCCCGAGGGCAGAGCGCGCGGCTCTCTGGATCCGCCGCATCCTCAAGACTTTGAAGGAGGCGACCCTGGACTCACCTGGGAGGTGGAAGAGGAGATGACAGAGTGCGGTCCTTGGCGTGGGCAGCCCCCAGCAGGAGCGGCACGGTCACTGCAGCCCCCAAGCAGCGGCACCAAGTGAGCCGAAAGGCCACCGCCCCCCTCGTTCTTATCCGGCATGACCACGCCCCCGTCCTCCACCCCCCGCCCCTGCCCCCGCCCCTAAGCCTGCCTCTCCCGGGAGCGAGGGGCAGGGCAGGGCGGAGCCAGAGCCCGCGGGATCCTTCCGCCGGGAAGCTGACGGTGAGGGCACGGTGAAAGGTGCCCTCTGATTGGCTCCTTAGGTGAATGGTTGCCAAGAGACGAGTAAATCTTCGGGGGAGGGAAGGGGCGGGGGTGCTAAAGGAGGTAGCATTACGCAGGCGCAATAGAGAGGGGCTGCGTCGATACCCCCCCAACTTTGGAGTTACTGGGACTCCCTCTTTTTCTACTTTTCATTACACTCTTTTCTGCCGTTCCCTATCATACAACTTACCCCCAAGTTTTTCCCATTTCTATTCCGCTCCCTCGCAGGCTTGCTTTTTTTTTTTTCTTTCTATTTCTCTGGAAGTTTCGTGTTGATTCTCTCTGGGAGTGAGTGAAACGCCCACGCCTACCTCTGGGGTGTGTTTTGAACTCGGAAAAAATTATGGTTTCTGAGCCGTGGGAACCTTCCTGATTCCCCACACTGGCTGGAGGTCATTGGGAAAGGAGTCAGCCACCTGTGTGCAGTTAGTAGGACCAAGGGCCTCGCGGAATCCCTCGCCAAGGCTGACAACCGGGACAGCTTCAGCCCTCTGCGGCACGTCACAGGGTCAACCGTGCCTGTTATATAACATGGGGGCGGGGCTTGGACACCACCCAGTCATTCCATAGCAAGTGGTTTAGAGTACTGTTTCTAAACTCAGATAACCTGGGCTGGGATTTCCATTCATCACCTGCCTATCTGTAAGGCTTTGGGCGACTAACTTAACCAACACTCCATAAATCTCCATCTCCTCACCTCACCTGTACGGTGGGACTAAAAACGGAACAGCTTTGTAGGGTTATATAAGTATTAACTAAGAAAAGGGAAAGCTATTAGGGCAGTGCCTAATATAAGATGTGTGGTAAATGTGATGTCAAACAGTAACGTATTTATCAATAAACATTTATTGAGCTTGTACTGATCCTCTACTGGGTGGTGGAAGAAAAGATTACTTCCCACATGCGGTATTTCCATGCCCCGCCCCTTCCATTCTGCCCGAAATAAATGTGCTCAATGTCTGCCAGGATAAAAAGAGTTCTCATATGCCTTCGCTGGAGAGGGGGAAGTTCCTGGAACATCATGGAGATGAAAGATCGGTATGAGTGCTTGCAGCGAATGCCACAGTGATATCCTATTGTTGGACATGCAGTCAGGATATATGGTCTGATTTCTTTTGCTTTACTTTTTTTTTTTGAAGCATAAATTCAGTAAAGTGCACAAAGGTAATGTGTACAGAACAATGAATTTCTACATATGTGTACACCCATGTAACTGCCACCCAGATCTAGACATTGGCAATCTCCAGCTTCCTCGTGCCCCTTCCCATTCAGTGTCCCAAAGGGTAACCGCTGTTCTGGCCTCTATCACCAGAGATTAGTTTTACCAATATTTGAACTTGATATGGATACATTACATAATGTGTGTATTTTTGTGTCTGGCTTCTTTCACTCAGTAGTGTGTCTATGAAGTTCATCCATGTTGTTACATGAAACAATGGTTCATTCTTTCCCAGTATTGTGTATTATTTCATTATATAAATATTCAATAATTTATGTACTCGTTCTCCTGGTGGATGTTTGGGTTGCATCGAGTTTTTGCCTATCACAAAAGAAGCCGCTTACGAATGATCTTTTTTCCAGTTTCACTGAGGTATATTTGACAAATAAAAATTGTGTATTTTGAAAGTGTACTACAAGATGTTCTGCTATACAGAGTGAAATGATCACCATACCCTAATTAACATATCTGTCACCGCGCAGTTACCTTGTGTGTGTCTATGTGGTGAGAATGCTTAAAACCAACCCTGGTCACAAATTTCAAGTGTACAGGGTCCTCCAGGAGCAAGGCCTGATTGCGTGTCGTTGGTAGGGTAATAATATGGCTGTCATAATTCGTAGTTTTAATTTGAGCATTTCACCTAACATGTTATATGGTGTGCTTGAGTGTGATATTGTTATGTTACAGAATTACTTGCTTATATTTTGTAGTAAAAGATTTTGTAATAAAAAAGGGGCATTATTTGTGCTGGGCTCTGTATAACAGTGTTTTTAGCTAGAACCACCATGCCGTGTATCAGGTCTCCAGAACTTATTCATCCTGCGTTTATATCCAGAGTTGGAATTGCAGGATCACAGAGCACACACATAGTAAGGTGTAAAGAGACTGCCAAACGGTTTTCCGAAGTGGTAAGAAAATTATATTCTAGCCACTTATATTCCAGCCAGTGCTATGAGATTTCCAGTTGCTCCACACCTTTGCCTGTGTTGGTATCGTCAGTCTGTTTACTTTAAAAAGGGGCAAGTGGGGGGGGGGTATATCCCTGGCTGGTGTGGCTCAGTTGACTGGAGCATTGCCCCATAACCAAAAGGTTGTGGGTTCAATCCCCAGTCAGACACATACCGGAGGCAACCAATTGGTGTTTCTCTCTCATATCCATCTCTCTCTCTCTCTTCCTTCCTCTCTAAAAGCAGTGAAAACATGTCTTCAGTGAGGATAAATAAAAAGGGAGGTGTGTATTTCATTGTGAAATACTTACATGTACATTTCTTTAATAATCGATACTGTTAAGCAACTTTTCACATGCTTTTGGCCACTTTGATATCCTTTTAGTGAAGTGGCTGTTTAAGTCTTTTGCCCATTTTCAGGGAGTTGTCTGATCTATGAGTTCTTTACATATTCTGCGCATGAGTCCTTTGTCCAATACATGTACTACAAATATCTTCTCCCAGTCTGTGGCTTTCTTTTCATTCTCTTCATGTTATCTTTTGATGAACAGAAATTCTGAATTTTAAAGAAATCGAATTTATTAATCTTATTTTTATGAGTAGTGTTTGTGTGTGTGTGTGTCCTAAGAAATCTTCGCCCAGCCTAAGGCCCTGGAGGTCATCTCCTTAGTTTTGTTCTAGCAACTCATTTCAGCCTTCACATATAGGTCTATGAGTCATCTCAAACTAATTTTTTGGTGCAGTTTGGGGTCAAAATTTATTTTTGCCACATGGACGTACAATTAGCTCAGTACCGTTAGCAAGCAGTTTTGTTGAATGAACTGGTTACTTAACATCCAGACTGTCTATACAAGTCCAGTATACATGATCACATTAAAATTAATGCAAATTTTTATATTACATTGGCCCTTGAACTATTTCTACTTTTTCGGTACCTCATGGATACCATCAGTGCAGGTAGTAGCCTCAGGCTAGAATACAAGTCAGAAATTCTTACCTAGCAACTGGCTGAGCATGGTCTGGTTCCACTTTTCTTAGGTGAACTTTTGTCCAGCTTCCTGACCTGGGGATTCTGCGGTAGGTAGGAGGGGCTAGCCAAGAGCTAGAAAAGAAAGTCATTATTCCTATTTGTGTATACCTTTTCCTCTGGGCCCCTATTTTATTCCTGGGACATGACTTTTCTAGAATTTCGTTTCCATTTTTAAAAATACACAGTATTCTTTCTACCTTGTAAAACTGCGGCGGCCCGAAGCCAGGAGCCCCGGGAAGTCGCCATGTGCTGCCCACAGGTCACGGAACCACGTACTGAAACCATCCTCCTGCTACTTGCCAAACTGCAGCCTCTGTGGGAGCACCTCCAGTCGAAATGGCTTCAAGCCCATTGCATTCCGAGTGATTCTGTGCTCTGTGCCTAGGGTTTGCTGAAGAAGAAAAGCTGAAGCAAAGGCAGGAAATCATCTTTAAAACGTAGCTTGTGCCTCACTTGTGGCCACGACCCTGAAAAAGTTCTACATCTCGATCGAATCTTATTTTGGATGCTCAGGGAAGCAAAGACATTCTATCACTAACCATTTTTGTAAGGCAAGAAAAAAAAATCTTTTGCCTAGTGCCCAGTCATCCTCCCTGACCAGTTTCTTTACATCTGGAGTTTTTGTATTCGTCTGTCTCAAGGTGGATCACCATGATTAAGCATTTATTCAAATACCCTGTTCTAAATAGCTTGTCTTTCTTAAAATGGTTTTTAAGCAAAGTTTTTGTTGCTGCCTATTGACATATAGAGAAGGGCACACACTTCAAAAGAGCACACCGCTCAATGAGCTCTCGCAAACTGAACAAACCTGTACCACTAGCATCCAGATCCAAAAACAGAGAGGCACCTGCAGGCCTGTTTACAGCCACCTCGGTGGCACTGTCTTCATTCTAGTGGGTCTCTGGTGGGGTTGAGGCAGGATCTGGCTTTCTGCTTCCCATCTGGAACTCCTGCCAGTAAATCCTCGTCTCTTCTTGGGCTTCCTCTTGCCACTGGTTTTGGAGTGAAAAGGTATAAGTTTTACTTGGAGCAAAGCACAGGAAGCAAGATCCAAGGACTGGTCAGACCTGATGGGGTGGGGACGGGGAAGTGGGCTGCATCTCTGGGAACAGTTTTATGGCAGCAGAGACACCGGGGTGCCAGGCCATGAGGAGGCGAGGAAGACTGGGGCCCAGAAAGGGGGATGGGGACATGGTGCACGGCCAGACAGGTGCCAAAGATGGGCCTGCTGACTTCATGAGTGACGCCACTAGACCCCCTTCCTGCCCACCTCCCCAAGGAAGTTGCCTGAGAAAGCAGGTTGGGTCATATGCCTTGTGTCCTCGTCAAATGACTTCCCTAGTCTGAGTCTTGGCTTCCTTATCCCAAAGTGGGAATTGCCATCAGCTTTGTGGAGGTGCGTGCTGGTCAAACGAGGTAGTACATTCATGAGCAAGTACCAGCCCCGTGCACGAAATATCCCCCTTTGCCAACCTTGGGCCCTTTCTCACATTACTGTCAGCACACCTTGCCAAGCCAGTCGGAGGAGAGCAGAGAATGGTGAGTTTTCCACACCTTGCTGTGGCTGCCCTCACTTCTAGGGCCCCAGATTCCTTATCTGAGGATTAACCTTTTCAAATCTC